ACGGTCTCTGGAAAATGATCTCATTATAACAATTATACTTCCGTGAACCTATTATACGATACTTCTACTAATCACGTATGAAAAGCGATATTCAAAAAGAGCTACTAGTTGTAATTGCAAAGGTCACAAACATTCGGAAAAAGGTTGTAACCCGTTAGAAAATGATACCTATCTACCTATAGACTATTAATATCCTAGAATATTTGGTAATTGTAAAATGCGCTGATATCTGTGTTCTCTATCTATGTATGAATGCGTATGTTGTACATATGACTGTATTTATTGCTACATAAGTACATAATAAAAGAAATGTATATGTTAAATCTAATCGAAGTTCGTTAATCGCTTAACAACTCGATTTAGCCTCACACTTCCTTCAATTCGTATTTACCGTTGATATCTCGCGTGCCTATGAGACCGTTGTACGGAAAGATGATATTCGACAGACCGTAGCTGCCAAAGATCTCCCGCAGATTCTGCCTGCCCGTCATGTTGACGTAACGTTGCTTGCCGGTCAGGCAACTGTGCAGCTTCCAGATACCGAGCACCAGGCAGATGCAGAGGATCGACATGAGCGTGTCGAACACCGTGACCAGAAGTATACTCGAGCTGTCCCTGGAGTGCAACAGCCTCGCCAGGGCGATGGGGAAGCAGAAGTTCAGGAATATATTGAAGTAATCCGCGTCGCTCCTCACTATGTGATTGATATTCTCGTACATGTACGGGCCCAGGACGCACAGGGAGTACAGGCACGTCAGCGAGGTGTAGAAGCAGAAGAGTATGAAGTTGCCCATGTTCTGGCGGAGCACGCAGGCACCCAGGAAGAAGCAGTGGTGGTCCATGAAGTGGAAGCACTTGCGGCAGTAGGCGCAGTGCTGCGTCGGCTTGCACATGTAGCTCCGGCACCTCTCGCAGTGCCAGAACTTGTAGGCAGTGTTGTGCGCCGGCGGCGGTGGCGGCGGCTGCGCGCCGCCGTCCGCGGGTTGCTGCTCGAACTGCTTGCGCTGCTGCTGCTGCTGATGATGATGATGGTGATAATGCGCTGGCCATTGCTGATAGCAGCAATCGGCGGCGATTTCGCGTCGTTGCTCGTGTTGCGATTGCATCGTCAAATTAGCGATGTCAATTATTATCGTATCAATTACGTGACGAAAAGGTATGAATTATCCACGTGGATTATATCCGTAATCCATGTTGCGAAATTTACTTGAATTGATTCAACTTGATGTGCCTTGTAGTGCACGATCCCTCGACATTTCCAACGTAACGAAAGATTTAATAACGCAAGACGACACCATTCACATTCGCGGATTATTTTCATTGTCATAGTATCCTTGATACATCGATCGATCTCCACTCGAAGGTGTGTACACGTACAATATTATGATTTCTTGGTGCGCGATTTCTGGAAGACGCGCACTTTACTGTCAAAATTATTGTCCGAATAATCGCGATTGTAGATCGTGGATGCGTGGGTCGATCGTAGGTATGATCGTTCGCCGCATGTCGGTATCTCGTAATCTCGCGTAATCCGCTTTCGAAAGCGGGCTTTCATCAGGAAAGTCTCTCCCCCGTTTTCCCGTTCTTTCCGATCTCGTTATTAATGTCGTCGACAACGTAATACGAAACAAGCGCGAATTTCTTCAGCATCTCTCGCGGCTCCTCATTGAAAGAAGATCCGACCGTGATTTCAACGGGCACCGCGACACCGGCGTTCCGATCTCGACCGAGTGCCCGACGAATGCCCGATGTCTCGGCATCGTCGAGACGAAGATCGTTCGCTCTGCCGTGAACAGGACTTGTCCTCACCTCCGTGTCCGGACGTTGACAAGGACGTTTAAAGCTGCGCCTCTCGCGCGCGCGCGCGCGCGC